TACATTGTAAATATTAACGATACAATCAATTAAACATGCCTACTTTCAAATTACAGCTTATACATATGTATTGAATATGCTTTGGCTTTTGTGTACGATTCAGCACAGTAAATGGATATGAAAATACATTTTCTTTAATTCTAATTCTACATTTGTGTGAATGCCTGCGGTTTAGTGCCATTAGTGATTCTATGAACACCTTAATATTTACCTTTAAATAATAAAACCGTAGAAAAGGAAGAAAATTGTACTACAATATATATCTTGTCTAATAAGTAGTATTATTGAAGTTTGCATAATCAGTCATTGAAATATTAATACATCATTGATCATGTCATGTTTAATGATTGTGATATTGGGCCATCCAAAAAGTTGTGTGGTTTCACGGGGATAGCTTCAAGAATATCATAATCAAACAGTACAGAAAGTTATTGAAGAAGGTCATTTTCATTTTATTCTATGATTTTTTGCCATAAATGCTTCAACACGATTCCACAGAGATGTAAGAAACCACAGAATTTTCTGGATGCCCTAATGCTTAATTAGTCTTCTAAAAGATATTATTTTTTGTGCTACTATCTTTGTAGGTTTGTTTAACGCAATAACTGGGACAAGCTATCTAAGTCTACAATGTCCAACCACATAGGTCATTCAGATATATCAAATACGTTAGTCTTTTACGTTAATGGAAAGGAGGTATGTATATATCATGTTAAAGCATTCAAACAAGAGCAATTGCACCATAAAAAAATAATAATAGATAATATAATAAATTAAATAGAATAATCCTGATCTGCATGCTTAATCATTACGATTCCTATAAATATGTTAACCATACCTATGTTATATGTATATCCTTTTATAAAATATGTATTTTTACTTTTCTTTGTTGTACGATGGATTATAACCAGTTTAAATTGTATAATTTGATTACAATCAACTGATCATTGAAAATAACTGACACTTTTAGTAACATATGTAAATTATTGAAAAATTATAATTATTCTCATATTTATATGCGAATGGTTATGACGCAATGATCGCGGCTATATTGGGCATGATTTAAACTGAGAAAACTAACCTTTATCAATAAACTGTATTTTCCTTAAATTAATAATTTATCTTGAAACCAAATCGAGTTTTATCCAGCAATAATATACTGTGATGGCCTGGAATGTGCTGTAGAATGGTAGAAAGGGAACTAAAAGTGTATCGACGACATTGCCATTGGAAACTGCTACTGGAATCCATTGGCGTCATTCAATCCCATTTGCGAAATCTCTTCTTCGCTACTATGCAGCATATTCCAGATCACTGCTTAATTATTACGCACTTTCATTTGATACGCCAAACACTAAATTCAAGGTAATAGATGACAATGTCGACCCAGAGTGGACGTTATTATGGTACTTGAGAAATAAATGTATCCTTAACATTTAAATTGTACGTCTTAAAAAAAATAAAATTAATTTTTATCCTAATACATTTCTTTCATTAAACATCAGGAAACATGAGAGATGAAAAGAATTAAATAAACCTTGAGAATGCGATTTATCAAAATGACGAATGTTCTGTTCTATTATAAACTTAGTAATTTCTCAATCATATCGTAAGCCGATATACAGATTACGCAGAAGGTAATTATCATTTGTTTCCATATTAAAAGGCCATCCATAGTCTGTTGTTTACAGTGTCTTCATTTTAAACAGAATTTTGAAATCCACTACTGTTCAACAGTTTGATTTATCTTCACAATTTTAATGCATTTTCTTATGAAAATAAACTTTACCACTAAAACTTTCATTTCAATTTAAGGTAATTAGTTTAGTCTGAATTATATATTATTATATAATAATATATAATATATAATATATATAATTATAATTATTTCCATATTTCTCTTACAAATGTTTCTGCCCTTAATATAAATTTAAAGAAATTACGCCTATCGTAAGTAGCCAAATTTGTTGTATTGTGTCAACTATTGAAATCCTTAATGGTAGAAATACAGTAGAATTAACTGGAACGAAATTAGGCTGCGCGGAAGGCGGTTGCGGAGCTTGTACTGTAATGATCTCGAAGTTGGATCACAAAACAGGAAATATATCGTATCCTTTTATATTGTTATGAGCTTCAACACTGTCACGAAAATACTAATTTAATTAACACGTAAATATCATAAAAATAATTTATCGTTAATATCAAATTTTTAGTGAATTCTAAACGTTTTATACGATTATGCGTAAATTAAAATTAAGAATTTGCAGTACGTTCTAAAATTAAATGTATAAATGCCAATTATGTATTTTGAAATTGCTGAATATTCAACAAAATTCCTGATTTGAAAATAAATGGTATAAAGGGACCAAATCTTTTTTTTATGAATGTTATTCCATATTATATATATCAATTCAAATGGAATTATTCTTATTGTCTGAACACTCGTGTTTCCTTGACTAGTTCAGATAACTGAGGTTCCACTGTATGTCTAATGTAATCTTAGTTCATATGGTTCAAATGACATTCATTTTTTCTTTTTCTGTTTGACTTCAGTTCTATTGGAAAAGCATAGGTACTTCCATTGGACTTGTAAACGTTGAAGTCGTGAATGGTACACAATGCTGCTACATACATAGTACATACATGAAAAATTATATAAAATTATATAAGGATGTAGTGAAAACAGGATCTCGTCGATTACTTACAAAATTTGCTAAAACAAATTAACCTTCGGAACTGGAAATTAATGCTAAAGGCAACGTTGGCCACTGATATGAACTGGTCGGCCAAAGTGTATTAGATGATGGAAGTGATTTCATTTCAGCCTTACGCAAAAGAATGCGGATATTATCGGATACCGACGAAGAATAAGAATTAACCAATACGTATGCGTCATTGTTTGTACACTCTCTTGAGATATCGTTTCATTGCCGGCAAAATGTTTTCTCTAAAAAACATATATACAGGGTGTTCCCTTTAGATCAAATCCCTTGAGCATCTTCACAGCGATAATGATGATACAAAAACATGTTTTAGACAAAGTTATATGCCTTTCTCTATATCGATACATTGATCACATTGTGATTCACATTGTGAAGATATTTTAACTTGAATATTGCTATAAAATCATTACACTTCTAGATAATACACGAAGCTATCACTACTCGGAGAAACTATTTTTTGCATCATCAGTATGTTCGAAGATATTTCGATATAAATGGAACACCTAGTATGTACGTATACAGGGTGTCCCGAAAATGTCTCGCAATCCAGAAATGGGAGGTTCCTGAGGTCATTTGAAGCAACTTTTTCCTTTGCGAAAATTTTCTCCGAGGTATGATTTACGAATTATTAACGAAAAACACTGACCAATAAGAGGCGAGCTCGGCTGGCGCGAGGCGGCCGAGCCAACGAGCGCGCGAAGCCCAGCTCCGCTTATTGGCTCGGTCGTCTTGCTCAAGCAGATCTCGCCTCTGATTGGTCACTGTTTTTCGTTAATAACTTGTAAACGAAGCCGCGGATTGCATTTTTGCTAAGGAAAAAATTGCTTTAAATGACCTCAGGAATNATATTGCTATAAAATCATTACACTTCTAGATAATACACGAAGCTATCACTACTCGGAGAAACTATTTTTTGCATCATCAGTATGTTCGAAGATATTTCGATATAAATGGAACACCTAGTATGTACGTATACAGGGTGTCCCGAAAATGTCTCGCAATCCAGAAATGGGAGGTTCCTGAGGTCATTTGAAGCAACTTTTTCCTTTGCGAAAATTTTCTCCGAGGTATGATTTACGAATTATTAACGAAAAACACTGACCAATAAGAGGCGAGCTCGGCTGGCGCGAGGCGGCCGAGCCAACGAGCGCGCGAAGCCCAGCTCCGCTTATTGGCTCGGTCGTCTTGCTCAAGCAGATCTCGCCTCTGATTGGTCACTGTTTTTCGTTAATAACTTGTAAACGAAGCCGCGGATTGCATTTTTGCTAAGGAAAAAATTGCTTTAAATGACCTCAGGAATCCCCTACTTTCGGATTGCGAGACATTTTTGGGACACCCTGTATATTTTAAATAAGCATTATACCCTATTCAAATTAAACAGAGTATTGTGCAATGATTGTTGTGTGATTTGCTTATAAACAAGGTATAAAAAATAGAATGCTTGCGATTTTTGAGATACTGAGTAATGTTCCATGTAAAAATTGTCAAAATTGCTCGCGCGATTTGTTCTCCCGAAAGAAAAACAAAGCACACCGAAACCGGTTTTATATTTCTGGACACCCCGTAGATATTGCGGTGAGTGGCTCCTACTTTATCGACTGCTGGAACAACTTATACACAGCGAAAATGCTTGTGTAATAACGTCTATTAACAATATATGTATACGCATATACAATGTAGTGTTTTTCATTAATATTTTGTAAATTAAAAGCTTGGAAAAGTGAAAGAATCGCATTTTTAAACGAAACTTATATAAGGAGACAGAGTAACTAATAAATGAGAAATGATAATTTATTTATTTATTGTGCGGAACTCAATAAAAAAGTGCTTCTATTCACCATTGATGTGAAAAGTAAAATTTTGAAATTTTAAAAAATATGACTTATTAAAGGTAGTGTTTTGTGATTTGAGCAGTGGCGAAGTAGCTCATTGTATAAGTTATAAATTGGAAATCTTATTAAGTAAAGATTCAGATTAATAACAAAGACAGTCTTTAAATAGAAAAATAAATTTTCGGAATATTAGATATTGATCACTGTTTTTGATAAGATTGCATAATTGACTTTACCGTTTATTATTTCTTTAACGAACTGTGCGATATTGTACGAATATCTAGATCTATTTGAAGATAAATCTTGATCCTTTCATCCCTTAAATGAATAACGTAATAAGAAATCATCTCTGCCAGAAGATTTTCCTGATCGTACCATTCAAACTTCATTAAAAATATTTTTGATATCTTTAATAGTTTCGATGTATATAATTGGCTTTTATAACATTTAGTTAGCGCACTTTGTGTGCGACGATATAAGAATGAACTATAATCTGTCTAACAAGACAGATTATAGTGTCATCATTAAAGGTGAAGATGCTGACGTTTGCAACTAACGACAGCTCTAAATCGGTTTCTACTTTCTATCGGTCGGAAAGGTAAATATTTTTTAAACGTATACACATGAATTTGTTCATACTTACTTCCTCGTCTCGTTGGACAGACTATAGTTCAATATTTACGAACTTCTCAGTGCGAATTTTATGGGAAAATAATACATTTTGTAGGTTTTTTATAATTTCTATAATTTCTTTATAATTTTTGAATAGGTTTTCTATTAAGATTGCATTGTTTTCCTTGACGACACACACTTATCTGACAATTACTACAGACACCTGGCAGTGAACGCATGTTTAACACCGATCTGTGCTGTGCATGGTTTGGCTGTGACCACCGTGGAAGGCATTGGTAGCGTTAAAACGAAACTCCACCCTGTACAGGAACGCATTGCAAAAGCTCACGGCTCGCAATGTGGTTTCTGCACACCGGGAATCGTCATGTCCATGTACGCATTGTTACGAAGCACTCCGAAACCTACTATGAAGGATCTTGAAATTGCATTTCAAGGTAATATGGAAGTCAAAAGGGGTTGGAACTTAACTGCGAAACTTCATGCAACATTCTCATAAGTGTGAATCGAGGAAAATGTAATTGAATAATTTCTATCCCCTTCATAAGTGATTTACGTATTAATTTCCTTACTGTGAAATTTTTTGAAAATTTTTACACGCTACGAATGTGTGAAGTTGTGTAGTCTAATGATATATAACTCCTATTTTGATAATTAAGCAGTATGCGATTCATGTGCATTTCTCAATAGATTTCCTAAAAAATCGTACTGGAAAAGAAGACGATTAGAAATAGATATTAGAATAATATATATATATATATATCTATTATTATATAATATATCTATTATCTATATTAATATAGATATATATCTATCTATCTATCTATTATTTATCATTAATATATATAATATATCTATTATATATATCTATTTCTAATATATATATATATATATTAGAAATAGATAGTTTGAGGAGGCGTATATTATGATGCACAAGCAGTTTTCCTCAGCCACATTTCTCACGATTTCGAGATGACTGACATTTTTTTCACGGGACTTTATACTTTCATTGCTGTAAAGTGTCCTTATTTTTTATCACGTCTTAATTATAGGAAACCTATGCAGATGCACCGGATATCGCCCCATTATAGAGGCCTACAAAACATTCACGGAGGAATGGGAACAGATGCAATTATTGTCAAATCACCGAGAGAAATCTTTGCCAAATGGGATTTGCGCGATGGGCGAAAATTGTTGCAAACGAATACCGATAGCGGAGCCGACCGAAGTTTTCGATTCAAAAAAATTCCGTCCGTACGATCCGACGCAAGAAATTATATTTCCGCCCAAATTGCATGTAAGCGATCTACATTGATAAACACGTAAATTTTCTTTCGACTAGGATCTTCAATAGTAAATTACATTCTTAGATCTCATCACACTTGGACGAGAAATACTTAATTGTCAAAGGAAGAAATGTGACTTGGTATAGGCCGCGAACGCTGTCCGAATTACTGTATTTGAAGAAACAATATCCAAATGCAAAGATTGTTGTAGGAAACACTGAGATAGGTAAGCTATAATTAACCCGGCGTCAGTGTGGTATAAAAATGTAAGTGCGGCGGTCAATTTTTTGAACGATGTGTTTAAAAAAATAAATTGTCAATAATGTTAACAATAATACAGGGATCTATCTTATCCATTATTATTATTATTATTATCTTTTTTCTTAATTAGGTTGATATAATACGGTTGATATAATTACGGGGGTTTGTCAGGCCTCACCACATTAACACCGGGTTAATTTCGTAGTTTCGACAACTTCACCTGTAAAAATTAATGTTTTATGATTTATGTTTAGGCGTTGAAGTCAAATTTAAGCATTTGTCCTATCCTGTTCTCATACATCCGATTTTAATCAAGGAAATGCGAACCGTTCAAGAAAATGGAGACATGCTTCATGTGGGTGCCAGCACAACACTTGTTGAAATGGAGAAAGCTTTAAAACAGCAAATTGATAATAAACCTGGTGAATAGTTTAGGTTTTGTGTTCTCTATAAGACATTTTTTAATTTTTGATTTTATGTTAAATAGTATTTTAATTTGGTTCCTGTTGCAGAACACAAAACAAGAATTTTCAATGAGATAATCTCAATGCTTCATTGGTTCGCTGGTAAACAAATTAGAAACGTTGCAGTAAGTTCTCTCAATAATTATGAATAATACATATTATTAATCTGTAATATTCAAATGATATTCAAATGACTGTTTTCTAAAGATAACTTTATACATTTTCATTGTTATAGGCTGTTGGAGGAAACATAATGACAGGAAGTCCTATATCAGACTTGAACCCAGTTTTTATGGCAGCTGGAGTACAATTAAATCTTTCCAGTTTGAGTAATGGAAACAGAGTTGTTCCAATGGATCATAGCTTTTTTAAAGGCTACCGGCAAAATATTGCTTCACCTGATGAAATTTTACTTCAAATTCGGATCCCCTTCACCAAAGAAGTAAGTTGAAAACATATATTTTGGAATGTTTCTAAAAACATTCGTTTCTAAAAACTTCGTGTAAACTAATTGCATTTAGAAACAATAATAATAGTTTCATTAATTTAACATCTTTTTTATTTTTCAGAATCAGTATTTTGTAGCTTACAAACAAGCAAAAAGGCGAGACGATGACATTGCGATCGTTAATATGGCATTAAATGTATTTTTCCAACCTGGGACTAATGTCGTTCAGAAAGCAAATTTGGCTTTCGGTGGGATGGCTCCGACAACTGTTTTGGCAAGGAAAACATGTGAAATTATGATTGGAAGGTGTTTTACAAAATTATTTAATGTTTCATAATATATTAAATGACTGCGATGATAATATAAGCAAGGGAACTGACATCAATTTTGTTTTCATATATTTTATATATTTGATAAAAGTAATTTCATGACCACGCATTGAAACTATCAATGAAGCGATCATATAGCAACGTATTTTCCATTTTATTACACAGAAACAAGTTTCAGCGTTCATTCAAAATGTTCTACTTAGAATTTCCAATTCTTTTTTCTATTAAAAGTGACTGCTCAATTTTTATACTTTCAATAACTAGTAATTAATAGATATTTAAATTTACACATCTATGAAAGCAAATTTTTCTTTATACTACTTCACATTACAGAATAATAAATTCTTTCAGAAAGTGGGATAAAACACTTGTGAGCAGCGTATATTCTTCGTTATTGGATGAATTTCCACTTCCAGACAATGTCCCAGGTGGTATGGTCAAGTATCGTAAATCTCTAACTCTGAGGTACTATTATATTATGATATTAATCATTCTTTTATACTCGCCCGTTAGGATTGTTCTGTATAACTTTGGACAGATCAAAATGACAAGTATACTTTTTTTTTACATCTTTTCTTAATTTTACCAGTTTGTTCTTCAAAGGATTTTTGCGCATAGCTGCGAAACTACAGGTGCAATTATGCGATTATCCATCATGGCCTAAAGAGTTGGAAAGCGCTGGATACGGTTTTCATGATAAGGAACCGAAAAGTTCGCAATATTATCAAGTGGTATGCATTATTTTGATATCCATTTTATAATTATTTTTATTTCTTTTATTTGTCCTATTTTAATACTGTTATATTGATATACTAGGTTCCAAAGGGTCAAAACGTGAATGATTTAATAGGAAGGCCTGTTGTCCATGCGAGCGCATTTAAACAAGCGACCGGAGAAGCGATTTATTGCGACGATATACCAAGATTCACAAACGAACTTTATTTATCTTTGGTGTTATCTACGAGGGCTCATGCTAAAATTTTGAAAATCAATGCAACAAAAGCGTTATCCATGGAAGGCGTAGTAGCTTTTTACAGCGCAAAAGATATACCTGAGAAACAACGTTATCACGGACCTGTGTTTCACGATGAAGAAATCTTCATTCTGGAGGAGGTGATTTTCTTTTAGTAAATAGTAAAGTTTCATTATTAACACTTTACCGACCGGCAGTCGATTAATCGACTTTTTGTTCCCAGCGCTTACCGACCGGTAGCCGATTAATCGACATTTTTATTTTCCGTTAGATTCGATTAGGTTAGACTGGCAAGTAGCAAGTAGCAAGCATTTCTTATTTTGTATTCTGATACTCGTTGCTTTGCTCTGAAAGCACCCATATTTTTATACAGTTTATAAAAATTTAGCCTTCACGATGAATGAAAAGGATAGTGTCGGTGAGTTTTATCTCGATGATCTGTCAGATTGTCTTCACTGCTCTTCAGCAAATGGTACTGATGACGAAAGTGATAGCAGTAATGTAATGATTCGAAAGCGACGTTCTGTATTACCACTAATATACAGTGATTCAGAAGACGATGATATAAATAATAACGTTGAAGATAGCAGTGNAGCAAGCATTTCTTATTTTGTATTCTGATACTCGTTGCTTTGCTCTGAAAGCACCCATATTTTTATACAGTTTATAAAAATTTAGCCTTCACGATGAATGAAAAGGATAGTGTCGGTGAGTTTTATCTCGATGATCTGTCAGATTGTCTTCACTGCTCTTCAGCAAATGGTACTGATGACGAAAGTGATAGCAGTAATGTAATGATTCGAAAGCGACGTTCTGTATTACCACTAATATACAGTGATTCAGAAGACGATGATATAAATAATAACGTTGAAGACAGCAGTGGTACATGGTCGACGAACGACAAGACTATAATTTTGGAACCTTTCGAAGGCAGCCCTGGCGTAAAAATCATGCCAAGTTCCCCTGAAAGTGTAATGGATATTGTAAATTTATTTATTGGAAATGACCTGATTGAGCACTTGGTGAGGGAATCTAATAGATATCATTATCAAGTCATAGAAAAATATAGATTTATATCAAAAACGAAAAAATGGACAGACGTTACAGTATCTGAAATGAAGAAATTTTTGGGCCTAATAGTTCTAATGGGACAAGTAAAGAAGGACGTTCTCTATGACTATTGGTCCACGGATCCAACTATAGAAATGCCAACAGATTTTTACAAATAATGTGTCGGTTAAAATAATAATGCCGGTGTCTCGGACGATATGCGGTTGAGTGGCCGGTGAGAAGGGCATAGGATTCTCGAACCGCTACCGGTCGGTAAAGTGTTAATATATAAGCCATGACTGACTAACATTTATCATATTTACTTATAACACTTATTTGTATTTAGTAATATGAAAATTAACATTAGAAGAAACAAAACTTGGTCGTTTTCGTAAAACGTTAAAGTAAAAATGTGTAAAGATATGATGTTTCAAGGTTACAAGCCAAGGACAACCAATTGGAGCAATAGTTGCAGTTAATCAGTTTATTGCACAGAAAGCAGCTAGAATGGTAGAAGTTGAATATGAGGACATTGAACCAGTAATTATTACGTTAGAGGTATAAATGTATGATTTTAATATGAAAATATAAGAAAATGGTGATACCGAAGTTATTACTTCGCCATCTTTATTTATTTCAATATAACGGAACATATTCTTCTAGGATGCCATTAAACATCGTTCCTTTTTTCCGGAGTGTCCAAAACGTATACAGAAAGGGAACGTTGAAGAAGCATTTTCAGAATCAGCTCATATTTTAGAAGGCGAAATTCGAATGGGAGGTCAAGAACATTTTTACCTCGAAACACACGCTGCTTTGGTAATTCCGCGGGAGGAGGATGAATTGGAAATATTCTGTTCCACGCAACATCCAACGGAAATTCAAAAATTGGTGGCACACTCTTTGAATGTTAATGCTCATAAAATTGTAGTGAGAGTGAAAAGATTAGGTGGCGGTTTTGGAGGAAAGGAATCACGGGCTGTGATGGTCGCCTTGCCAGTTGCACTTGCTGCTCATAGGTATATCTTGAAATAGTATTATACATTACAAATTATATATATTAAATATAAATTATACAATATTAAATTATACATATTAATATAGTTAAGTTATAAAGATAGTAAATTAAAATATTCTGTGTACAGATTAGGAAAACCGGTGCGTTGCATGTTAGACAGAGATGAAGACATGATGATAACTGGTACAAGGCATCCATTTTTGTTTAAATATAAAGTTGGATTTGATGATAATGGCTTAATTAAAGCTTTGCAAGTTTACATTTATAACAATGCCGGCTATTCAAGAGATCTTTCTCTCGCGGTAAGTTAACGTTTACTAACTACTCTGTACATATACAAAGAAAAGATTGATTATATTGTTGGAAGTATCTTCTGAACAAAGTTATTACTTCTGCAGGTTTTAGAACGAGCCATGTTCCATTGCGAAAATTCCTATAAGATACCAGTATGTGATGTTCATGGTTATTCATGTAAAACTAATTTGCCATCTAATACAGCGTTTCGTGGTTTTGGAGGTCCGCAAGGAATGTTTCTAGCAGAGACTGTTGTTAGACATATCGCAGAATATTTGAATATAGACGCTATGAAGGTACCATGGATCATTCATGTTATAATACAAGGAATTGACTAGGAATTCTAATGACAATTTAATTGTATCAGATTTCAGAGTTAAATTTGTACAGAGAAGGAGATTCGACTCATTACAATCAGAAGCTTATTAATTGCTCCTTGAGACGTTGTTGGGAAGAGTGCCTTTTATCTTCTAATTACACAGAAAGACTTGCAAATATTCAACAGTACAATAGGTATGTTTAAATACATTTTGTCTTGAAGTTCTTAAAGTTTCATGTTAATTCGATTCAAACATGATTCTATTATCATATATTTTTGTACTTCATTCTTGGTTTATACTTGGTTTGAATTTCATAAAGATATATATATATTTTTGTGATATAATCACATATATAATATTTTATTTTATTAGACTGAATAGATACAAGAAAAGAGGATTGGCAGTAGTTCCAACTAAATTTGGTATTTCTTTCACTGTACTCTTTTTAAATCAATCAGGGGCTCTCGTACATGTGTATACTGATGGTTCCGTTTTGATTAGTCATGGTGGTGTAGAAATGGGACAAGGTTTACATACGAAAATGATACAAGTAATATTTATTTATTTTTAATTACTTAGCCTGATTTAAGTGCAAGTTAATTAATTTATGTAATTTTTTGTATATACGTATAATTTTTACGCGAAACATTACGTATTTAGATACTTTAACCCATTCGTTTAAATTGTATTTATTTACATTACTTCTAAAACTTAGGTAGCCAGCAGAGTATTGAAAATAAATCCAGACAAAATACATATAATGGAGACTGCCACAGACAAAGTGCCAAACACATCTCCAACTGCAGCTAGTGCTGCATCAGATCTCAATGGCATGGCAGTTCTGGTCAGTAAATATTATTTGGCAAAATACATTTTTACAGGAACTAAATGTTCAGTAAATGTTACACTTTCATTTACATTATCCAATGCAGAATGCCTGCGAGAAAATCATGAAGCGATTGAAACCAGTAATAGATAAAAATCCAACTGGGACATGGGAGAATTGGGTAAATGCTGCTTATCTTCAAAGAATCGGTCTTTCTGCTACTGGATTCTATAGTACACCTAATATAGGATACTCATTCGAAACAAATTCTGGAGATGCATTCAATTACTTTACATATGGTGCTGCATGCTCGGAAGTAGAAATTGATTGCTTGACCGGTGATCATCAAGTAAGAAATTCATATGAATTATAAACGCTTTCCACACTACAGATATATGTTCACTTGAACTTTTATTTAATTTGATTAGAATGTATGCTTCACAAATGTTACAAATGTACTACCAAGTTAGGATAATGGATAAATATAAAATCACATGATTTTTGTTTTGATTTTAAAACACGAGATGCTTTGAATTATAAAGGCTTACATTTTCCGGCGTCATTCATATTTTTATCTAGATAGTTATTTATTAATAGTTAGTTGTATATTTATAATTATAGTAAGTAGATATTGTAAACCGAGTTCATCTTCTTATCGGCGAGGCTGAAAAATAAAGATGTCATTAACGATGTTTGACATGCAGGTACTGCAAACAGATATTGTCATGGATTTAGGTGAGAGTCTTAATCCTGCGATTGATATAGGACAAGTGGAAGGAGGTTTCGTTCAAGGGTACGGACTCTTTACTCTTGAAGAGATGGTATATTTAAGAAATGGAGCAGTCCTCAGTAGAGGTCCAGGTGCATACAAACTGCCTGGTTTTACAGACATTCCAGAAGTATTTAATGTATCTTTATTGAAAGGTGCTTCAAATCCCAGAGCTGTTTATTCCTCTAAGGTAATCCATATTTTATAATTTAATTATTAGGTTTATAAGAATCCATTGTGATTTGTTATATTGCATAGTTATAAGCTACTTACTCGTAACGTCATAATTAAAATATGTCTAGGCCATTGGGGAACCACCATTATTTTTAGCATCCTCAATTTTTTTCGCCATTAGAGAAGCTATTAAATCTGCTCGACAAGAATTTGGTATGGAAAGTCAATATTTTCGATTTGATTCACCAGCAACAGCGGCTCGTATTCGACTGGCATGTATCGATGAGATCACGGAAAAGGTCAGATACATGTTCACATATTCTTGCTAAGCAATATTACTATTTGTGTAAAAAATTTAGTTTGTTGTTTGTTATTTGCTTTTATTGTGTTATGTAATATAGTAGTTGATATGA